AGATTTTTAGTATGTTTTTGTTAAGATACTGGTGCGGGACGTGTGGGTACCGGTGCGGGACGTGTGGGTACCAGTGCGGTACAGTTGGGATACGATAACAATACGGTTCGGGTACGATAACGGTAAGGTTCGGGTACGATAACAGTACTGTTCGGGTACGATTACGGCACGGTTCGGGTACCATTGCGGTACGGTTCGGGTACCATTGCGGTACGGTTCGGGTACCATTGTGGTACGGTTCCGTATAGCGCTAACACGCGGTCACGCTCTTGGTTATTAATTCATTTCATGTACAATTGAGGTACGGTTTGAGTACCGTTGTGGTACTATTTGGGAATCATTTAGGTAGGGTTAATGTATTTTAAGATTAGACCCAAACTTGCTTGCATTGTCTTAATACATGTTAGTTTTACCCTGCTTATGACTAGTCGTTAAGATAGAAATCCTGCTCAGTACGAGAGGAACCGCAGGTTCGGACATTTGGTTCATGTGCTTGATCGACCGATCAGTGGCGCGAAGCTACCATCTGTTGAATTATGACTGAACGCAGCTAAGTCAGAATCCAGTGCAATGGTAATAAATGTTCGTGTAGGGCTCGAGTGATGTTCTGGTGACGGTGTTGGTGTATACTGTTGTCGGGGCGTCTGTGGCCGCACATCGGACTGGAGTTTCAGTCTCGTTTGGTATGGAATACCTTGCCGAAGACTCACTGCTGCCGCTGAGCTCTGAAACAGTAGTATTTGTGGCGATCGGATCCGCGACAATGACTAAAGTGGTTGGCTGTGATGTTGTCTGAAGTGGTAATAGTGGCGATCAATACACTTGTAGTGATTGGACTATCATTCGCTTGAATAGTGTCTGCAGTAGTAGTAGTAGTAGTGACCGGAATGTCGGTAGTGTCCGTGTCTTCAGTTGTAGTGACTGAACCGGCATTTGTGACAGTACTGGCATTCGTGATGGTCGGACTTCTACTCGCAATCGTAGCAGTTATGTCCACTGGAGTGGTAGTTGTGTATAATAGTGTGGCCCGACTCGTGGTAGTAATGGTGTCGGCAGTAGTCGTATCTGGACTGACACTGTTTATGACCGGTTGGTTAGAAGTGTTAGACGCGGCGGTAGTGATCGTGGGTGTAGTAGTAGTAGTAGTAGTACTAGTGGTAAGCGTGTTTTCCGCAGCACCAGTAGTGGCTGCAACATCTGTCACAGCATTGAAACTACTGTTTGATTTACCATGAGTGGTCACTTCGGGGCCGATAGTGGTTATGTAGTAGTAATGTCTACGCCTGGACCGGTAGTGGCGGCGGCGCTTGACTTATCATTGATGGCCGAACCGATGGTAGTAGTGATCGAGTCGTCGCCAGTGGTGATGCAAGGCCTGGCATTTGGGACAAAACTAGTTATACCGATGGCCGGATTTGTATTGGTGTTTAATTCAGTGGTTTGGATGTCTAAATTGGAAGTAGTAGTAGTGACAATAGGACTGGTAGTAGTGGTGTCTGGATGGGTAGTATTTATAAACGGCTTATCAGTGCTGATCTTATGGGTGGTAGCGTTCGGGTCGGCAGTAGTTATGACCGAACCAGTAGTAGTGATCGTATTGTTTTAAGTGGTTTTCGGTCTGAAAGTGGTAATCATCGACATAATAGTGGAAACAGGTCTTGCGTTGGTTATCGGGATAGTAGTAGTAGTGATGGCAAAGAGCAATACACAAAACATGTGTGCATTTCCCGATATAATAATGGCATTTTAACGAAATTTTGACAAGGCTTCGAGAAAAAGTCTTAAAACAGTCCGATTGGAGGTCTGTGTTGTGGCGCTTATGACATGAAAAGCGGCTGTACTAGCGTTGGGACTCAATTTATTGCGCTCGCAGACAATGAATAGGCTATACTTTGGAGTATTATCTGATTTTGAGAGATTAATTCGCTAATAGACATCGATTTGACCGATATTTGAAATATAGTCGGCGTTCGAGTAATGAGCCGTTATTTAAAATAATATTATTTTAAATGTTTGAATCGCCAATGAATTGTTTCTTCTCGTTCAGCCATTCCAACACATCAAGCAATCGATGAAATGTTTGGCTCAACTTGGGACCCGATTGTTTGCCCGTAATATCGTAATTCGACACAATATTGTCCATGATTTCTAACACCAGATCCCACGTCATTTCGCTTTCAATGTGCTTCTGGCTGTCGATCAATGCGATTAACGCGACAGACATCCCGAGAGCTACCGATTAGTGTTTGCACTGAAGGGCACTTTTAAAGGCCGGAAGTATAGAGTTTGGGCTGTGTTTGAGGTTCTCGATACGGATCTGGTCCCATAGGGAACGGGTGACGAAATGCACGGCTCCCCTCATTAGAGACGTGTCCTCATAATTGGTCTCATCATTTAATATATACCTCAAGGTCTCGATACATGAATGGCCCAAATATGAAGACAATATGTTTCGCATGATATCAACGCATAACGTGTTAAACGATGTATTGTTTACTCGTTTACACAAAACCATCATAAATGGTGTCAACCATATCGTCGGAGGCATTGATTTGACGAGAATCGCGTCCATTATGTGATATATAGTCTCCTTATTGGTTGTCACTCTTGTTATTAGATGACAGATCTTATTGATAATGTCTGCCATTATCTTCTGATCCAAATATACTGAATTGAATTTTATTAAATTCACTATAAATGTGAGAAATTCTGCAGAGGTTTTGGAATTTGCGGTCATTTTGTCAAACCATGGGATGAGAAACGGACCGATTTTTGTCTCAAAGCTCTCGTAATTCTTGCCGTTGTTTGTCATCGCAATTAATACATCCATTCACTGATTTATTAAATGCACGGCAAATGCTGTGATCGACCGGAACTGGTACAACGCAATGATCAATGATGGGCATAGGTGATCCTACCGACTGCGCCAATTGAGATGAATGTAGATTTAAAGCACACTTATTTCGGGTCATAATGTATTTCTTAGGATTTATTCATTATTGTTAGCGTATTTCATAACAATTAGTAAATTGTATTCACAATTTAATATACAAGTGATTGTAAGGAAAGGCAAATTCATAATGTATTAACAATTTGGTTATTTATAACTATAAAAACAGTGTTTGAATTTAAGTATCGCATTACAAATTGATTATAACATAATTAGAATTCTTGTGCAATGAATGCAAAATTATCGTTCATCTCAATACATTTACTGTATATAAATCATTCTGGACTTTTTTAGCTCATGCGGTCTGACTCTAGTATCTAAAAACATTAAAACATTTATTTTCAGTACATTAACAATAATATAAGCTTTAAGTTTATGCCAAACAGGCATCAGATAATCGGCGCAAACATCATAAACATTGGTAAACATGATGATCGAGAAACCAAACCACAGGCTAAACACACTGGCTATAAAACACAAAAAACTAACTAGCTCATATTTGGGCACCTGCCTATAGGTGAGCACAGGGCTGATCGGTATCATAATACTAGCCGACGAGTGATTTCTATCATTAATGCCCGTAAACTGTTTGCTCCGATAATACACACGATGACAATCGCTATGATTGCCGCACCGGGTGTTACACTCCTGACGGCCCCTATACTCGTCGTGATTCTGATCAAACGCGAACACATAGCCGCTGTCCGTACGGTTGGTTAAGTATAGGTCGGGCAGTTGGCCGTAGCGAGCGATATGGTATCGGGTCCTGCAGTCGATGAGGCAATTGTCGCGGGACTGATAGCCACGGGCTGTGATATAGTTGAGGCAATTGTCCCGATAGGGAGCGGGCAGTGCCCACACCTCCACGCGATCGTAGTATACAAAATGAGAAGTTGCGGTCCAATTATTAGCAAGATTGCTATCCAATCGGCTGTAGTCCAGTAGGAATGGATTCCAGAGTCGCTCCGGACGGGTGTGAAACACAATGATCAGGTGATTGATGCCGGGCAATCTGTAGTCAAGTCTGGCCATTACGCCGAACTCGTAGGCCCTGGTATTTAATCGTAAAGTATACCGGGTGTCCGACTCGCCGGACAATTGCTGAAACAGTGATATACAATAAAAGTATACACTTATTGATAGCACGATTGGGGCCACCCGTTCGCAGCTGTTATTTCCCTGACCATCCAATACAGGCCCAGACTCTGTGTACAGGTTTTGACATTTAATAGTGTCCAAAATCTTGTCCCTGGAATACAGACGCCGGAACTGTTCCCTTATGGGCAACGAGTTTAGCGCTTCAAATACCCTGTGTTTCTGGTGGTCCGGTAGGGGTCGCTGTATTTGCCGGCCAAACAACTCCCGGTAATAGTCGTCAGTAATGAAGTCCTCTTTACGGCCGCATAAGGATAGGGCCGGCAGTTGTGGTCTGTATTCCCGTTCATAGCGTACGTCAGTTGTGGTAATGAATGACAGATATATTTCACACATTTGTATGATTTGATACAAACATCCCGTAAAACAAACTAAATATACACTAATTTTCACGTATTTATTCATAATGTCCTGGAAGCCTTGATTTATTAAAAAGCTTTATAATTATTTTGTTGACAAAATATTTGAATATTTTCGCCTAACAACAGTTAACAACAATTAACTTATTTCCTAATCATAGTATTTCTAAAACATAATAAAGTCTATAATTAATTTACCTAGAACAGCAAATTTCACAGTTTACCCTAACATCTTACTCTTATAGAAAATATTGATCTACACCATAGACTGGTCTACAATTTAGCAATCCATATATTCGTATACCTTTTGTTCATAGTATCGATTTTGCTACAATAAAACAACACGATGAATAGATGTTTTTCAAATTACAAAATAGCATAGTGTTTACAAATTCTTTATTACACAGTGTGTAATACATACAGCATAAAAGTCATATAACAATAACTTTATTTGTATATTGAGTACAAAAAAATATTTAAAAAACATACTAGATATAAAATATTTCAAAATATCTAAACATAATGAACTGAGTCTAGTATTTACTCTGGATTGCCTCGTATATGAGCATGGGCTCAACAGCCGGGTCCTCCGCGTATTGTACAAAATCTGTGATCCCTTCAGCCCTCAAAAACTCCTCATCGATTAGGAAGTTAGCGGTAAACTCGCGATCAGTCTTCGAGAGTATACCGTACGCGGCGTCCGCCTGAATGTCAGCCTTACGACAGCGGCGTCTCAGGCCATCGGAGTCGGCGCCGGGCGCTACCATTGCCATCGCCGCCGTCCATATGGTAGTGCGCGGCCACAGGGTATTCACCCGAATGCCGTCCGCCTTGAACTCGTGAGCCATGCCGAGCGCGCACATCGACATACCGTACTTGGCCAGGGTATAGGCCACGGCTGTGCCGTCGAACCACTTGCTACCGGCCAACTGCAGGGGTGGCGAGAGGGTCAGTATGTGAGCGGTGGCCGATTTGCGGAGATGGGGCGCCGCGTATTTCGAGGCCATGAATGTGCCCCTGGCGTTGATCTGGTTCATCAGGTCGTACTTTTTCATCGTGGTCGCTTCGGTGCCTATGAGAGGGGGGGAGAGGTTTAGTAATAGTTAACGGGGCTGTGGAGTAACTAGTATTAATAATATACCGGTAAGACTGATGGCACTGGCGTTGTTGACGAGTGCGTCCAAACCGCCAAACCGTTTGACAGCCGCGTCGATGGCCGCCCGCACCTGCGCCTCGTCCCGGAGGTCGCACTGTATTGGCAGGCATTTGCCGCCCGCGGCCTCCACTACAGAGAGGGGGCGATAAATAAGTAGACAATTATAGTGTTTATGATATAACTGATAACATAAAGTATGAGGTGTGCATATGTCAGCCCTGGGAGGCCATACCCTCTTCGGCGGCCGAATAGATAGTGCCCTCGAGTTTGGGATGTTTTTCGGCTGTTTTGGCGGCGATCACAACATTTGCCCCGTCTTTGGCCACTTTGACGGCTATGGCTTTCCCTATACCACGACTGCCACCCGTTATAAATATTGTTTTGCCCGCCAATGCACTGGTAATTGGATTTATAACATGGTTAGTTTTGGTGCTAGGTTGTTTATTCTAGTTTAGATTTAGTTGATATACTCACCCAGTGTTTAATAAACCCATGGTGATGTTTTTATAATGTTGTTAATGAATGGAGTAAATTGTGTGGATAGTTTATTACACAGAAATAAGTTTTATACCAAGTTTATATTTGTTAAACAATTTTATACATTAATAAAGGTATTATTATTTTATTAAATTTAATTAGAATTTTTGCAACTGTTTAACCATGTTGACAGCAAACTATTGAAATAAACATTGAAACATTATAAATTAAATGTATATTTTAAACTATTAACATGAACTTTGTATTTGTTAATTCAGTACATGATCAATTTTGTTCACTGTTTTGTTATTATCGTACAGTTTGTATGTTTACGTCAGTGAGCACTCATACAAGAGTACAGTCGATGCGTTGATAATGAATACAGTATTACAGTAAATATACTGTACACTGTATGTATGAGAGATAAATTGTTTATGTAAACCAGTTTATCGTATGTTTTTAGTACAAAATTGTACAAGCACCCTCTATGGTCAATTATATTATATAGTTATAATTTAAAACTTTTAATTAAAACTTATAAAAAAAAGTACAATTAATATAATTTATTGCTAATTATTGTAAATTAATTAATAATTTGATTATTGTCTTTATCATACACTAGATGTGTATTTTTGTTACCTGTTATAATTTTTCAATTTTAAATAAAAATCTCCTAATTAAAATAAAACAAAAAATGTAGATTTAAAAAATGATGTTATTTTCGAAATTTTATTTTAACATTATAAAGTTATATGAATTAAAGAATTATCATATGATTATTTTTATAATAAAGTTACCTAAAGTACTGACGATGGTTATAAAAGTAGAATTTATAAATCTGATAATTGTTTGAAGTGTTTTCATTGTGCTAAAGACAATGGATTATAATGTCACCACATTCATGATAAATGCCCACCATGGAAATTTTGCTTTATGTATCTTAATACAATTCATAATTCACAAAATCATTACAAAATGTAACAATAATTACCTTTATTAAATGTGCGATTATTTGTAGTTTTATTATTTGAACAAAATATAACAAAGTCATATCATTATCAAGTCATGGAAATGGTTTGAATAGAAAAATAATCAATACTTCCATAAATAAATATTAATTAATTAGATAATAATGTTTGATAAATTAATAGTACAGTATATTAAGTAGGTTAATCCATATTATTGCTATTGCTATTGCTATTGTTATTTAACGATAAATTACAATGAAATATCTCAAAATCTTTTATCATAATTTGTTCACAAAGCAACCCCACATCGGGTTTAACATTAGTACTCGACAGAGATTATAGTAATCACTAATACTTATGATAATTGAAATGAAATTAAAATCAAATATAAAAATTAAAATAAATAGTGAGAACCGATGAGTGAATTGAAACATTTATTTTGTGCAACACATGAATAAAAGTTATACTAAACAAAATGTTGTGCAAAACACTTGCATTCGTAGCACTCGTTCATACCATAAGTGCCGCCGTATCGGAAGCTCCGGTAGATTTTAGCGATCATAAAATTGTTAAAATATATCCCAAATATGACACAGATTTGCAACAATTACATCGACTCCAGCGTATATTTAGTGTAAGTACTTTTGGTTTTACCCTATTCGTTGTATTTATTATGTCTTGTCTACTATTTTCAGTCAAATGTGGACTTTTTCGCTGATCCCACGCCAGACATGAGTCCCTTCACGGCTCTCGTCGGACCCGACGGCCGATTTCTACAGGCGTTGAACGCGTCGGACATCTCATACGAAGTGGTCGTCAATAGCTTCCAGTCAGTGATTGATAGGGAACGGGAGGCCAACACTAGACCGTCGAGTCAAGTGGGCTTTGATTACGACAACAAATACAATACATACGAAGATATCACGACTGAACTGAAGAGGATTGGATCCGCAGGTTTGGCGCATCAAAAGTTTAAATATTAAAATAAATGTTTATTTTATACCCTCATAATAGGTGGTAAAGCAAAGTATGGTAGCGTTGGTAAAAGCTATGAAGGCCGAGATATACCTTATTTAACAATTACTAAACCTGGTGGCACGAATAAGAAAACAATATTTTTTGAATGTGGTCAGTTTTTGTTTTATTATTATTCTTATATAACATTATTATTTTGTAATATTATAATATTGATAGGAATACACGCGAGAGAATGGGTGGCAGTGGCCGCCTGTTTATGGGTAACAAATCAATTGGTGACCACAACTACTTATGATAATCTGTTGGATAAATACGAGTTCATAATTGTGCCGACGCTTAACCCCGACGGGTATTGTGTTAACAAATAATACAAAATTGAACTTAAACAAATTAATTTTAAATTTTATGTCATAGTTATGTCTACACTCACACCGTAAACAGAAAATGGCGTAAAACACGGTCAAAGTCGGGCCTGTGTTTTGGTGCCGACCCTAATAGAAAGTAAATATAAAACAATCAAACAAGCACATTTGCAATAGCCATAATTATACCGTATACACATTATACAACAAAACTAACCCTATTGTTATAGCTGGGACGCCGCGTTTTGCGAAACGGGTGCCTCGACTGACCCGTGCGATGATAAATACTGCGGCAAATCAGCCTTTTCTGAACCCGAGACTAAAGCCATGTCTGAATTGATCGCCACTAAGGCCTCCAATACTGCCGGCTATTTCTCAATTCACTGCTTCGGTCAGCTGTTTATGTATCCGTGGGGTCATAAAGCGGGTAATCCACCCAATTATGCCCAATTGGTTTGTATTTTTATCTAGTTTTAATGCATTATTCTTGTAATTGTAATTTAACTTGTTACAATTATTGTTTTTAAATAGGATAAGTTGGCTCATTTGGGTGTCGATGCTATTAAAGCGACAAATAATGTCACATATACTCCTGGTGGAATTTCCAAAACTATTTGTATGACTATTTACATTGTTCTTTGTAGTTATTTATTGTTTATGTAATATTAATTACAATTGTATAATTAAAACAATATAATATTTGTTTTTTAAAAATTCAAACAGACGTAGCGTCGGGTTGTGCTACTGATTATGGTGAGTTGTTTTTAGCCTAACTATACAAATTATAATTTTAAATAATGACTCATTATTAATGAGTGAATGTATATTAAATAGTTTACGACAAGCTTAAAATTCAAATGGCATTTGCGATTGAGCTACGACCGGACCGATCCCACCCTGATGGATTCATATTGGATCCCAAGTTTATCAAACCAGTCTCTACTGAGGCCTGGAATGGACTCCGCGCTGTCATCGAGAATCTTGATAAATAATTAATGTGCTTTTTCAATATAATTATTAAACTTTTAATTATATTTAAATATTGATTCTAGAATAATAGTCGCAATTATAAAAGACACTAAATAATAAATGTACATTTTCAAAGCATTTATAAAATGTTATTACTGTAATAAGGCTTTATTAAATTCAATTTATGTAATTACTGGAACATTTTTATTGGCATACATAAAAATGAGACATGTAAGAAAATAAGATTAATTAATTAAATATAAAATCAATGAAAAAGTTATTTATTAAACACAACTTATACTTTAAGTGAAAATATACAGTGTGTATATAATTTTTATCAAGATTATTTTATTTTTTTTAAATTTTAAATAAAACTTCTGCTAGTTAAAACATTAGAATAATTATGTTACCTAAATGTTACTTGTACACTTTTAATAAAACAATATACAAGATTTATCTAACAAACTTATTTATAATTATAACAATTATTGTAAAACCTATTAATATTTCAAATAATAGTACGAAAATTGCAAACAAATTGAAAATTAATAAAAATTTAAAGGCATTGCTAAACATTTCACTTAATTTAATTGTGTCGCTAATTATAATATCATTATTTAAATGCAAAGGGTTGATTAAATTACTAGATGTAGCATAATTTATGTATATATCTGTAATAGTATCAAAATGGTAAATATGTCCGCTCTCGATGAATCTGGTATAACTATAAAATATTTATTTTAAAATGTGTTAGCATAATTTTAATCAATTTACAATTAAGTAGTACTTACATAAATTTTAAATGATCATGATATCGATGATTTTTTAAACAGACATAAGTCATATATTGGTAAAAATATTTGCGCTCACTTTTTCTAAACAAATTACTATACATTCTGTAATATAAACTAATCACGTTGATGGTATTAGTGTTGGCAACAAATACTAACGTACCATCTAATAATTTAGGAATTACTTTCTCGTTAAAACTATCATTTTGACCATGTGACGACAACTTATCATTTAGTTTTGTTAATAATTGACTGATTTCTGGGTCTGAATATTTAATAAAATCCATTACTTCTACAATTGTTTGTGAAGAATCTGTATCTACACTAGGGCTTGAAATAATTATATTATTATTAATAATATCTTCTAATGTTTCCACAAATGGTATGAGTTTTACATTGAAATAAGTATTTAATAAAACACCGGTAAAAGCACTCGTTATGATTAGTGTACTTATTATCCATATATACATCACTACAACCATTGGATTTATTACCAATCCTTCAATTGGTTTAATATTTCTGTATTTATTAAATACAATAGAACTCTGTTTTAGAAAAGTTTTTAATATTTCTATCATTGCATCTGAAATGGATTCTATCGGCTCTTTATATGAATATTTAATAATGAAAGATAAAATTACAGATGAAAATAATATGCATAACCAAACCTATTATAAAATTTAGAATACTTTTATCATTTTTTAAATTTTATACATTTAAATTATATAAAGCTATATTACTTGATAATCAAGAAGTTTTATCCAGGCCAAATCGGACATTTTCCTTGATCTGGTTAAACCACTAATAATTTCAAAAAAATATATTGTTTCTAATGTTACAAAACTGTGGGATTCCTGAATGAATGGCAATACGAGCGACGGAAACGGGTCTATACTGGTTATAAACTAAACCACCATGGGCAAATTATCTCATGATTTATAGCAAATCATTATATTAAATATACTAACCTCGGGATTGTCAAACGCTGTCGTGAATGAAATTATTTGTTTTAATGTGCATGTTAAATATTGTAGTAACAACAATCCAACTGAGCACAGTATATTTTTCATAGGCTTTAAATGTATAAGCATTTTATTTTAATTACCTATAGGATTTAGTTTATTACACTTACCAAAGCGTATAAAATCAATTGTCCATGTTGGCTTGTATTATAATGATTATATTGATGACAATAATATGTATGGTTTGTGTTAATATAAGTAAAAGAGATTACCGAATAAAGGTTTACAACTTGTTTATTTATGTCTAGAATCATGGTGACTTATAAAATATTTTGGATTATAAATTGGACCTCATAATTTATTATCTTAAACTTATTAGTAATAAACTGTTTGCATAAACTATGTTCCCATTTATTTAATGAACCAAATAGCAATTAAATCACATTATTTTATATAAAACAAGTAAGCAGTAAGTTTTATTTTAAATGGATTAACTAATTAACTTGCACATTTGCAATTTTTCAAACAACAAATTTTTATTTTAATATTATATTTAGTTAAATTATAAAAATTCAATAACATTATTAATCATAGTAACATAATATCGTAATGGGAATAATAATTAATTATTAATTCGCCTTATACGAATAAAATGCTATTTATAAAATTAATAATATTGTATTAAGATGTTTTATTATAATGTCTTGTGATATATTAAATATAGTAAACATGTCAATTAAAATTGAAAATATATTTCCCTATGCTGATTACATTATTGTAAAATTTTATTCAATTATAGCAATACAATTAATGAGGTAAATTACTATTTACTTGTATTATATAAATGTAATATAAATTTGATATTATAAACATTAATATTCTTATTAATTTGTCTTGGTAATAAAAGTATATACATGTAAATTTACTTGTAGCATAAATGTAGAACTTTTATATATTATTCTAGGTGTGCTATAATGAGATTTCTTAAATTATATAGATTAGATTTTTATTTTATTTTTTGAATTAATGTGTATACATTAACATTTATACCAGTTATTGTACGCTTAATAAGAGTATTGAAACTAAATTGATGTTGCATAACTTTCTACTTTAGCAAATTCTTATATTGATACAATTAAGAGCAATTGTCATTGTTGTAATGTTCATTATTAAATAGATGCATTTGCGGTTTTTATATACTGTACATCAAACACTGGTAATCATGTTAATTTATTGTCAAAGCTCTTAATAGTTATTGAGTTATTACAAGTTTAATAAACTTATCTAAAAAACTTTTTACAATTATTAAAATTATTGCATACGATATGAATATTTCAAATAAAAATGCAATAATACATTAAAAATAAAACATTAATAAGAATATATAAATATTGCTAAACATATTACTTAATTTAATTGTGTTATGAATAATATGATCATTATTTGTATACAATATGCCAATATATTTCGAGTAATGGCTTTAGCGACAATCTCGTCATTAGTTTTAAAATGGTAAATAAATCTGGGTTTAGATTTTTAATATAATTAATTGCAATGCATCAAGTTATTTGATAATAAAATGTTGTAAATATCCTGGTAAAGTTAAAAATTCAAAGCAGAAAACAATAATTGACACCAAATATCCACACAATAAAAGTATAAAAACACTGCAAAACATTTCGTATAATGTAATCGTATTATCAATTAAAATATCGTTTGGAAAGTTTTGAGTTAATAAATCGGATTGCATTAAAATCATTTGTGAACTAGATCTTAGAACAATGTCCTGGATAGTTTGAAAATAGTAAACAACTCCACTCTCGAGAAATCGGGTCATACTGTATAAGAATCCAAAATAAAATATATAACATAAGAATAAGTGAAATAATATTAGTTAAATAATACTTACACAGACTTTAATCGATCATGATAAATTGAATCTTTGCGAATAATATAAGTGAGATGTTGATAAAAATATTTATGTTCACTGAATCGAAACATGCTCGCATAATCGTAAAATATATTACGTACAAATCTAGCTGATAATGTATCGGCCAATACAACAAGTGAACCGTTAAATATGTTACTAAATCTATTTAAAAAACGTCCCGAGTTTTTAATATCTTCTATTAAAATATCCACTAATGGCTTGTATTCAGGATTTGTTACTTTTAATGGATTTAGAAATTGAAGCGCGTTTTTGGAAGGCATTGCCGTCGAAACGCTTATATCTTTATTATTCATAATGTCTTCCAGTGTTTCCACAATTGGTATGAGTTTTACATTGAAATACGTGTTCAACAAAACACCGGTAAAAGCACTCGTTATGATTAGTGTACTTATTATCCATATATACATCACTACAACCATTGGGTTTATTAAAAATCCTTTAATTAATCTAATGTTTGGGTATTTCTTAAATACAATCGAACCCTGTTTTAAGAAACCTCTATATATCTGAATAAAAGCATACAAATCCGATTTAATTTCTAAAACATTTAAATAACGTAAAATCTGAGACATAATTATCGATGAAATTAATATTAATATCCAAATCTATAATTATTAATAAATATAATAGAAATATTATACCAAATTGTTACAATATGTAATTTATCAAATCTTACCCTATGGTCAAAAACATAAGTCCATGATAAAATTATTATATTTTTCGAACGCTTAACACCGCTTATTATTTCAAATAAATACATCGATTGCATGACAACACTATTATATGTTTTCTCTGTGAGTGATAGTTGTAATGAACTATAGAAATCTATGCTAGTTATTACCTAGGTTAATAAATATTATAATATAAAATTAATAAAATAGAATAAGATTTATTTAAACTTACCTTGTCGTCCAGCGTATTTGTAAAAATAATAGTTTTCTTTAGTGTACAAGTTATATATTGTAAAATGAGCAAGCCAGGGAAAAAATACATATTATCGTACCTCTGTCAATTAATAAAGACAATTATGTATTAATTCGCATGAAACTAGCATATCGCATTAATTTTACATCGATGTAATTAATAAATAATTCATTTTGAGTATTGTTATCATGATGGCCACAGAAATAGGAATTGTCAGTATTGATAATAGTTACATGAATGATTGAATTAAAATAATCTACTTCTTTCATAATATCTAATAACATGGTAACTTTAATTGATATAAATTGATTTTTAAATTAAAATACAATTTTATTTATTTGTTCATGTTAATATTTCAGTTTAATTTATGTTTTGATATTGTGACAAATATTAAATTTATGATTTCATCGTCTAATTAGCAAGTAACAGTGTTAGGTAATACTACATAAATATTCGAGATGTTTATTATTTTATTAATAAA